CAGCCAATCACATTAAGTCAAAGCCAGGATTGGTCTATGTATGAAGGGGGCACTGCTACCCCTCTTAGTTTTGACAGTATTGGTTGGTCCTGGTCTGACAGTGCTCTTCCCTGTGCTGTCTGCAACCCTGAAGGCCAGACTGACCCAAGTCACAGCAGAGAAGGAAGTTTAACTACTGACATCAGAAAAATGCTAAATAAAAATGTTATAACTACAGCCGACAGTTTGGAGTATCAGTATTCCCAGTAGTCACTCAGATTAGATATGATATGATGATTTCAGCTTGCAATATATTTTTAATATTTTAGGGAGAATACGGTTATGACATTTATCCCAGTTTTCTCCATATTTGGGAAATAATGTTAAAGGGAGACCAGAGAAATTGGGTATTAATTTTCCGTAGGCCTGTGACTACTTGTGCTGTCCGGTTTTTAGATAAAGCCACATCATTTACGGTTATAAATGTCCTTCTTATGTTGCTATTAACAAACTCGCTTTTATGGAAAATAAAGAGTAAAACCATTTACTACAGACGTGTCGTTCAGCTATTTTATATATAGAAACAACACACTTTTCTGTGCAGGAACATAACCCTTATCATAATTGATACGAGTTAAACTGCGCCAGCATCCATCACTGCTCCGACTGATGGATCGATAAATCATTGCAGCTGGTTTCTATATAATGCTGGTTTCCATATAATGCATTCACTATGCTGGTTGTCATTTGATGCATTTACGTCATCTTGGGGATTTATTTTTTCTTCTTATAACAAAAGAACTGATTTACTGCTGCACATATACGATCATATGGCCTTTACCCTTCCTTAGCCAGTGTAAAGATTAAACAAGTGTTCTATGGTCACACCTCTTGGCTTTGATAAAAGTCCCGGGCTCTGTTGAGCACTGCACACTCTGTAGGCCATAGTAAATTACAGGTAACAGTAAATTAATTGATGCAGTCGAAGGATATTGACTGAATACATTTTTTTTTCCAAATAGTATGTTTAGGGAATTAGAAAATGAGTGACACAATGGAGACCAATACTGACCATGTAGGACTAATAAAACAAATAACTGCCATCATAACCACCAAAAACAGGGATAATTGAGTAAGGGTGACTAATTGGATCTGTATCTGGAATTGCATAGAAAGTATGACATATCCAGCAACGAGTACCAATATGAGGTGAATGGAATGAATAAAAGACAAAAAGGCGACACAAGCCTGCTTTTATAAAAAAAAAAAATGTAGAATGACCACTACGAATCCCATTGAAAATTAAACTAACAGTTGAATGAATCCAACCCCAGCAGTTGACATGAGTGCTTTGAGTCAATAAAAATAAGTGTTATTCTGATCTGTGATCAGCATATTCAACAGAATGAAAATATAATTACTAGTATGACAAGTTAGTTACGTACATTTAAAAAAAAAGAAAGGTGAACCTGACACTTTTTATATGTATTTCAATGTAGTGATGATGTAGATGGAACAGAGCTGACAACCAGTTGCTTTATATATAAACAGTAGTTTACCACAGCAAACATGATGGGGCAGCTGCTGTGATAGACCCTCATGAGTAACAGATGGGGCTGGTCCCCATGTGCCTCCTTGTGAACTCACAGACTATCACTCCTGTGAGGGCTCAGGGCCGTCTCACCGTGGAATCAGAGTTTGAGGACTACGTCACAGACTTTTTAAGTGTTTAGAATAAATCATTGATGAGGTCGGCAAGATGTTTTCCTTCTAAACTTAATCGTACATGTAGTGTACCAGAACTATGTATTAAATATCTCTCTTACAATGGTCGGATTTGACATCAAATTTGTTTTAGTCTGACAGAACTTTATAACATATAAGCAAAAACATCACTTCATTAAACTTAATACAGTGTATGTCCAGGGAGCAGGATTTCACTTAGTTATGTAGCATTCATTAAACGACGTTGGTAGCCCTCACATATGGTGAGACCTCAAGCGACATTGATACTACACTATTTCAAGCTGAATTTACTAATATAATAAAAAAATAAAAATGAAAACAACTGATTAACAAGGACAAATAAATGTTTTAACAGACATGTAAATATCTTTTGAAACATTAGCAAAGCGGCACAGAATGTGTCAATATCTTATTATCTTCTCCAAGACACAGGGGCGCTTCAACTGCTGTTAATTATTTGCATCAACAGTGTTGCATTTTCACATACATTTTCATGAAGCACTAAAAGTTGTTGAGATCACTTACTTATGGTACGTTCACACCGGACTCGAAGGGATTTTTAGCGCGTCGCAATTACATGTCAAGCCAATGCAAAGACGCGGATAGATGCAAATTTGCCCGAATGATACGATTGCCGCGGCTTCACGAGTTAACATTTTTCAACTCAAGCGTCAAATTTGCGTGACACTGTCTCGCGTTAGCCAATCCACGGTGCAGATCTCAGCCTGCCGTCACTGACGTTGAAAAGAAAACCAAACAGTAGCTGTTGTCTCTGGCCGACAGCAGACAGAGCTCAGGTCTTCATATCTGTTCAGAAACTGGAGAATAGTTATAAATGTACAAACCACAGACTGTCTATGGCATCGCTGATTTATTTATGTCTGGATGACGTTGTTGTGAGTGTGGACAGAGCAACTACATGTTAGCTTAGCCTAGCCTGATCGTTCCGATCTCCATTCAGAAAACACACATTTTAAAAGTGTTTCGCCTGCTGTCTTGTAAGCACAGTTGTCAAAGCAATAATTCATGTTTTCTTACTAATCTGTATCAGTTTGAAGTTATTTTGGCATCGTTTTGATACATATATTACAATTAATTCACGGTAAAATATGTTAATTTTGTTGTAGTTGGTATATTCCATAGTATCTACATGGAGATAAGCCCCGCCTCCTCGCCAGCGCGTCTAGTTTGAAACTCGAGCGAGTAAAGAGATGCGAATCTTAACATTACATCCGGTGGAAGGCACAATTAGACTAAGCAGCCTTGACTTCTTTGACTTGAAGAAACCTCTTCTATAAGCCTTGTGGTACACCTCAAATCCTACCTCAAAGACCTTCAGGGTAACTTTGAGAGGGTCTGTGTCTGGCCCTTGTCAACCCAACAACGGGGTCCCTCAGGGCTCTGTCATTGGTCCCCTCCTTCTTTCTCTTTACACCAATTAACTTGGCTCTTTCACTTGCTCTCATAGCTTCTCCTACAACAGCCACGCAGATGATACACAACTGAATATTTCCCCCAGGTGGCTGCGGAAATATCTGCTTGTCTGGCTCTCATCTCTCAGTGGATGTCTACACACCACTTGAAGCTCAACGTTCACAAGACAGAAATGCTTTTCCGTTCAGCAAAGGACACCCCCATCTGTAACCTGACTATCAAGACGGGCACCTATGTTGTGTCCCCGACTCAAACTGCAAGGAATTTCGTTGTGACGCTGGACGACTAACTGCCCTGCAAATACACTCTTCCCAACATCAAGGGGATACTACTGACTCAGAAGGTGGCACAGCTTCCAGGCTCTTGTCATTTCACGCCCTGACTACTGCAACTCCCTCCTGGCTGGCCTACCTGCAAGTGCCATCCGACCTCTGCAGCTCATCCAGGATACAGCAGCCCAACTGTTCTTCAAACTTCCTAAGTTCTCCCACACTATGACGCTCTTCAGCTCCCTTCACTGGCTGCCAGTAGCTGCACGAATCCACTTCAAGACACTGGCCTACCGTTCTGTGAATGGATCAGACTCTTCCTACATCCAGAACATGGTTAAACCATACACCCTATCGGTAGCTCCTTCCCTACTGCAGTTGGGACCGAGGTATCCCTTAGCAAGAACACCCCTGATTGCTATCATGGCAATAGAAAAGGTGTAACCAGCTCCCCCATTGAGCAGAAACTCTACACATCTTGTCTCGCAGACTCAAAACCCAGCTGTTTCATCTGCACCTTGGCCAATAAAGAAAAACATATCTCTGTCTGTAGCACTTGAAACAGTTTGGCTTATTTGGAGCTAATGTACTTACAGGATTCCTGTTGTTCCGACCATGTATCCTCATTGTTGATTGCACTTATTGTCGCTTTGGATAAAAGTGTCGGCTTAAAAACAACATTAAACATTCTTAAAAAAGTGTTTAATCGTACAACGTTAATGGTCCAGATTAAAAAAGAAGATAAACACAGCTGCTTAGCGAAGAATAATATAGAAAACTGATTTACGAGCTTGGTTTCAGGTTAGGTCAGCAATTATGTGTAGTATTCACAGTACGTAAAACTGAAATTATTTTATTTTCTGTAAACTTGTGTTTGGTTATGTCGTGGAGCAAGCTAGCTCTTTTATCCTGTACTTTGAGAATGGTAAACTACTGAAGACAGCCAATGGACACGCAGGCCAGCCCTGACAGACCACTTGTTGCACTTTGTGGCGCCAAGTAATAAAATAGCTGTCCTGGAAATTCACAAGCTGATCCATAGCACTTTTGGGCTATGGCACACCAGTTTTAACATTTGGCCACGGTTCATATTGTAAATGAAATAATGGGTAAAGAGTACCAAATTATAATCCAACATGTGTGAGGTGACAACACATCTAATCACAGTGTGGATTGTTCAGCATCCTCACATCCCGTCTCTCAGCTCAGTGTCCCACTGCCTGACTGACCACGTCAAACTGTCTGACACAGCAAAGCTTCCTGCTGCAGCTCACACTGACAGGGATAGAAAAACGTCAGCATCACCACTCAACAGCAACACAAACACACACATACTGTACACACATAGCATCTCTGCAAGACACACGAAAAAGTATCAAACCTGCCAAATGACTGACAGAAACTAAATAATAAGAATCCTATGATGACAAACTGCAGACACAAAAACCACAGGTATCAACTCTGAGACTTACACACTTGTGGCTGATCTGTCAATTAAGGAAGAGAGTTTACACTATGACTTGGGATTGTGAGTGTGTGGTTCTGTGTTCAGGTGAGTATGTGTGTACTGACTCTTGTTCTTGCGCAGCAGGCCGGTGGCGATCCAGGGTTCTGTTTGGACCATCCTGCAAGAGGGCACAGGCTTGTCCTCCACAGATGATGATGATGATGTGATCACCATGGAAATGCTTGGCAATAGTTCAATCCAGCAGGGAAAAACTGTCAATCAAAACACTTTGACAGGTGGGCGTGTGGGGGTTTAGTCCCTCATGAGACGTGTCTTCAATCCCAGAGTTCGTTTCAACAGTTTACATCCAACTAAATCAATGAATGTTGAAATGGTGGGAAACCGACCAACCAATCAAAAGGCACCGTCTTCTCTGGCTTGTTTCTTTTTTTTGTGACTGTGGTTTCTAAGGCAACCAACTGGTGTACAGGCAGCTTGTCTCTCTGAAGTAAAAATATAAAGGATGTAATCTCTTTCTTCTGTGGAGTTAACTATAGATATAGATCTCTCATTTTACATATATATTATTTTCCTCTGTAGGTTTGGGGAATGGGGAAATATAGAATATTTGGTTAGTCAGGTTAGCTTTGTGTTTTGTTGGTTTCGGCAGTTTCATGCATTCTTTCTGTGTGCTGGAGATTTGTAGTGCTCCAGGTGGCTGGTGACTTTTATTTGAAGAAGTCAAAAGTAGACCTTTCTTACAGTTTGTGAACAAGTAGCCACTATAATGAATAGTTTGAGCTAAATGTTTGAGGGGTAAAGGCATAAACTCTAGTCGCTTATGATAGGTTTACTAAGCCCTAGCCATTCGAACCAAAAGTACACAGCTAATAGTTCTTCAGACATCTTAATAGTAATCCAGTACAGGTTTGTGTGTCCAGTAAATCCTTAACCAGGGGAATACAGTACAGCTAGTATTCTCTGGTCAGTAAATTCCCAACAGATCTCATGTTATTCAGCAGAATAAGTGAATCCACTTGTTATTCTCCCACACTACTAGTAAAACACATTAACTAGCTGAAAGTCAAGTGTGTGCTAACCAGGCTCGCCCAGCATGCTGACAGGTGGGCTGGGCGAGGTAGTGTTATAGGAAGAGAAGGAGGTGGAGGGGAGTTGGGTTTCCAGTTGACCGCTTTTACCCCATCCCTTAAGCTAAATATAGCTCCAATTACGGGCGCTTTCAGGGGGACTGGTCACTGGACAGAGTAGGGCAGTGTAGAGTGATGTTACCACTCAGATTAATCCAGTGACACACAAAGCCCTCCGCTGCCAATGTCACAGAGCCTGTCCAGCCAGCTTCAGGAGCCTCCCCTTCACCCGCCTACAGCAGAAGGTGGCTGGCCTCTGCCAGGGTGAAAAGGAGCCCTTTTAAAAGGCCAGACAATAATGTAATCCCCATACACTGGACGGGATGCCTCTGTTACAACAATCAAATGCACAGACACATGTAAACAAACAGTTCCAGTGCAACGTGTTGATTTCAGAGAGACGTGCAGCTCCAGAGAAAGTTCTGCTGGCTAGAGATCCACACTCACGGGCTAACAGGAACAAAATGACGCACCAATACAAACAGGGACAGTGTACTGTTTTCCGTTGGGGGGAATGCAAGGGAATAAATCCGGGAACAAAAGTTTAGATCCAGTATCCGTGTTGAAGAAATAGAAAAAATAAGCCGCTGTGGGCCTGCATTGTACTTTCAAACTCCCACAGTCCCCTCTGTTCACCAAAGCAGAACTCGATCCAGAAAAATGTCAGCCTCTGAGGTAATCCCACTAAAACAAAATACTAACAGCGTCAGAACAACAACAAAGCAAAACTTTAAAGTCGTGTCAAAGAAGTAAAGAAAGCAGATCCGGTAAAGTTCCTGAGCTTGTTGTCAGACGACGTACATAGCTTCATGACGCGCCTCTTCTTCTGTCTGCTTCCGCTCTCTTTTCTCACATTAAACGGCCTCCTTTACATGTCCTTCTCACAATTTAGGGATAATTGTTTTAATTCTTCAAGGTGGAAACCTTCACAAGGGCGATTTCGACTCATGTTTCTCGCCCGTTTCCCTTTTCGTGCTTCTCCGTTAGAAGGAATCTGTGTCCCTCTCCCTCACAGCTCCCCCACCCTGCGATATGGACTGTACCATGTGCCTAGAGTGGGGGTCGGGGCTGCTCAGTCTGGCGCAGCTTCACTTTGTACCGGTGAAACCGCTACATACACACACAGTGTGAAAACACGACATTTGCGATATTTCACGTGGATGTCCACCTAAACCACCACTCAGATGCTGATTTTAATGCACGTTATCAACAACCAACGTGAGTTAGTGGGACAGTAACCTTCCCTCTGACCACTTAGTCTGTTCCAGCAGACCTCTGCTGTCCTGGCCATTTATAGTAACAGCGGGATATATATACTGGAACTTTATATTCACGCATACATAGACAACCTTTACTTAAACCCGTTACACAGTTGTATAGATAAAGCGCGGCCAAAAACAAAATGGGTTGCTACATAGCCTACTTATAACCACTTCCGAGCAGGCGCATATTACTTTTCTGTATGTATTAGTCTGCAAATGGTATCACTTTCACAAAACAAAGGTTTTCAAAATGATAGCTTTGATTTTATATTATATACAGTTCAGGATCTCAAAAAATATATATGTGGTCTTCTAACAAATGCAATTTGTAATGTTCATGGAGGACCTGGCTGGATACAGGGGCATGGAGAAAGGGACGAGTTGACAGTGGGTTGATTAATGCCTCCCAAAGTGGACAAGGTTTCACACAGATGACTATGATTATGAACGTTTTTACAATAATGTATGTGACTGAGGCAAATATGACAGAGCTGCATTTATAATAAGCTAAGGTTTTAAACTAGGTTTTATTGTTGTCACCATGTTAGACAGAAAGGCTACATTTTGTTCATTCAGTGTTTCTAAATGTTAGAACTTCTGGGTACTTGGGTAAATGCAGCTCTACCCTCACTCAGCAAGCACCCTCTATGGGCTCTGTTGCTACCCGACGCGATGGCAGCTGCACTGCAATTGGCTATATAAAGTCCCATACTTGGCTGTGATTGGGTAGCGGCCGAGTTTGTGGGCGGGGCGGTCGGCTTAGTTTCACAGTGTCTCTTCAAACGGCGCGAGGCAGGAATGACGCGGAAATAGTTTGAAGATGTCAGGTAGAAATGGAGAGAGTGAGGGAGGGAGGGAGGGAGAGGGGGCAGAACATGGTCACTGAGTGACTCTACAGCTGAGATGTGCGACTCACTTCTCCAGCTAAAAGTTGTTACTGTTGCTATCCGAACATTCCGGCTAAATCAGGCACAAGGCTGCCTGGGAACAGCTACACACATACACACACAGTATCATAAAGCAGCTCCTTAAAGGAAAATACAACTCATACTGAACTGTGTCACTGCAGTTCTTATTAATGTAATTTTTATCTTTATCCTTTACAAAATAAACACTCAGTTACATAAAATAAAAAACGTGTGCTCACTGTCATAATGTACTGTATAAATGTAAGGTCTCCCCTGATAATGATGTACTGTACAGCAGTACACTTTCGAAATGTGCCAAGCAAATACTGTTTATAAAGCGCTATAATGGCAAGCTGCAATCGCAACACATTTGTTTAAAAATGCTGTACAAAATAATTGAGAAATCTTTTTTTGGTATACACAAATGCATTGTTAGTATAGTGTTAGCTAAATTATTTGGAAACCCTCAAAAAGTGTAGTTACTGCATTCTGGATTTGCAGGTTCAGTGCCTGCAGCTTTCCTTGAAAATCTACTCCTGCTCCAGGCTCCAGAAACCATGGTTCAAATCACTACACTCCCACACACTGAAAACAGCTGACCAGCCACAGCTAAAATAAGATAGCATGGCCTAATAACATGCTATAATTATAGCATGTTATTGCATTCAAAGAGATAAGACATAAGCAAGCAGAACTTAACTTTATATACATAACAGCACAGCAGTAATGTAGGCTATGCATAGTAATCAAATGCAGATGTATCACTACAGGTGGTCTGCTTTAAAAAATACCTAATTACCAGTTCAGATTGACTGGGTCTGTAGAGGGTGCCAGGATAATGTAAAGCATGTTGCAAAGAGCAGTGCACGCCACACACACAGATCCATAGAAAGACAATGCATGGTGTATAAATTAAAGCCCAATAGGCATTGGCCCTCTATACCTTGACTATACACGAACAAGCACTACAACCACGAGACCATAGGAATCATTTTCTAAGAAGTATTTTTACTTAATGGACTTTATGACCATATGCAGTGCCTGCTACTGTACATCATGTTCACCATATCATTTTGAGTTTACAAAATGTGCAAATACAAGAATGAAAAAATAATTTCTTTCATCAAAAATATCACAGGGAATGTAGACAGAAAGGACAGTGAATACAATGGAAAATCAACTGGAAATATGTGTTATAAAGGTAAAGGAGTTTTGCAACAAAAAAAAAGTTGTGCCAAAGCTGTGCCAATTTAACTAAACTGACTTTGCAGTGAGTGAAGACAAGCTGACACGCCATTAAGGCCATAAAAGGATCATTTCGTCATTTTGATTGTATGTCAAAATATATTTCTGCATGCCATAAAATACACATCCAACAGGATGCAAGAGGGTGGCGTGGCACACAGAACTACAGAAGCTTAACTGTATTCTGTCAAATGTTCGCTGGTTTACTGTGTTCATATGTCTGTTTGCACTCAGGAAAAACATGTTGTTTACCACATTTCTACTGTCATCATGCCTCGCAAACGAAACAATTATCTCAGCTCCAATACAACACTAGTTCATAAAATAACCTACAGTACGACACAATAACACAGAGATAAGCAACAGATACAACTATGTGTCTGTTAGGTTAAAGATATTTGGTTTGTTCACTAAAATGATTAACTGTTACCAGCCACATACCCTTTAAAACAAATAATTTGCAAAGTATCAAAGAGGACAAAGAAATAGGACTGAAACTACATTGTCCGGGTGCGTCTAGTATAGAAGTCGAAACAAATAGGCCACTTATTAAATGTATTTAAAAGATAATATGAAAATATATTTTCTTGAATGGATACAACTGATGATGAGTTACCGGTTTAACAACACAACAGAAATAATTTCAAATGATTTACTGTAATTCACATTCAAAGTGTAATGATAAAACTTTAAACCTGGATTTAAAAATGAATAGCATCTACAATAATGAATATATTATCCCATATGATAATGAATATGCATTAAATTAATATCCCCTCGTTTTTAAAGCTCTTTTGTGCCATTACAAGATAAATCATTGTGCATTTCTGATGCTTTGTCTTTTTAAGATGTATTCTGAATTAAAGTAGTTTCCTATTTGTATTTTTTCATATATATTTTTTTACTTGGGTTTTGTTTGATTTGAAATAGGCCTACTAAAGATCGTTCTGATAGCTTTAAAACTGCTTCAGTTCATTCGTAGGTAGTGATACAGCACATTGCATTAGCAGACTTTAACAGGCTGTGGAATTTATTACAGCCGTTTCCTGTTGTCTTTCTTTGTCTGTTGATAGTTCTGAATCGCATTGCTATGCCTATTTTACTGATTAGCATTTCCCATCACAGAATTACTGACAAGCTTCCACCAAATCACGTTCAGCTGTACTAACGACCAGACAGCGGAGATTACAACGGCAGTGCGAGGAGGCAAGCAGACTCTGAGACTCACGTGCCTTGCAGCAAAATTCCACCCGGCAACTATACACTGTACCATGGCAACAGCTCTGCCATTGGTCCCCGGTGCGTTTTCAAATGACCAATGGGATGGCCAGCCGCGGGTGATGCTTGTTGCTAGGTAAACATGATGCAGAGGAAAGATAGAGGAGGAGAATTACCATGCTGCTACTGCAGGGTGCTTTCAGCAAAGAGTGGAGGAGGGAGGGAGCACTTCACACTAGGAGATACCCTTCTCACTTGGCGGTGCCAGAGAGACAAAAACAAAATGAAGCAGGAATGACACAGGCAAAGAGGAATAAAATAGAAGACTTGGTTAAAGCCTGTTGGAATGCTCCAGCCAATGGTAGTTCTTGACAAACAAATGCCATGTGTGTAGAAGAAGATAGCCAGTAGGGTAATGAGCAACCAATTTGCTATTAATTTTCCCAAACAATGGTTATTGATAATATGATTTATTGAAACACTTAATTTAAATTAAATAAAGGTTTGAATTATGCTGTGTCTAAACCATACAGTCTATGGTCTAAACTATAACTGAGTCAACACAGTTAAAACAAAATTACCTAATAATGTAAATACATACATATTAACAACTTAGCAAAATCATATAGTTTAAACAACCAAATGCAAAGAACATAAAGTCTCTAGTCATTTGTTTCAGTTAGTCAGCAGCATCAGCACTAAACACAGTGCATTGTATGGATGACCCTCCTTTGTAACTGTGTTTTCAAATTCCCTGTTCATGAGCTGATGTTTTGATTATTGTTCAGATAAGATATTATTCAGGATTTCAGAGACAGGCTCTTATCAGACCAAAACATTTCAATATGCTGTCTCAACTGTAGTTTACAGTTTCTTAACCTTAACTGCCCATGACCTCAATTTCAGGATCCTAATTCTCATGGGCTCAAAAGTAAGACATCATTTTTTATCCCAGTTAATTAATATTGTTTATTTAAACTATATACAGTATATATATATGTAGTATTTTAAGTCACACACACACACACACACACACACACACACACACACACACACACACACACACACACACACACACACACACACACACACACACACACACACACGCACGCACGTTTAGATTCAAATGCCAATTCTTGTTGATAGCAGCAATCATGATTGTTGGATTACCAAAAGACATTGGCCTGGGGGACTGGGGCAGCTTACTAAACATCCTTATGTATATACAGCGTGTAGTTATAAAGTCTCAAGGCGATGTGATCACAACACACACACACACACACACACACACACACACACACACACACACACACACACACACACACACACACACACACACACACACACACACACACACACACACACACACACACACACACACACACA